CACTTCACCTGAATGTGGCTGAGTGTTGTGGTTTGGAATAACGTTGCGGTGAGACTTTCTGCTGGGCCTTATGCTTCAGGGCAGGCCTGGCTGTATTTGGCTTTTTTCAGTGTTATATTAGAATGAGCTCGTCAAGTTCTACTAGAAACTTTTTAAAATCTGACCACCTTCGTGCCCCCTGGAGAGCGCAGCCTCCTTCTTTTGGCTGTGATAGCACTTCTGTTGCTTCTACCCTCTACTCTAGCTTTGCTTTTCATATCTTTTCTCCTCTCTCTCATGCCATGTCGTTGTCTTTGTTCTCCTAGTTGCAGTTATACTTAGTACTTTCATTCTTTTAAATGGTTAATCTAGAGATTAATTCCTTTGCCCTCATCTTGAAAAACATCAAAGACATTAATCTCATCAATTTTGTCTGAAGTCTATGCGTTCTTTAGAGATTTTGTTTTTTCTTGATCTTTTATCCAATTTGTTATTATTACTATGAAGAGAGTACTCACTGAGTTTTCACAGCTTTTCCTTTTTCTTTACTTAGTATTCTGTGTCAGGTTGAGCATTATCCTCTGAGAGCCTTCCTTTGTACATATGCCCTTCCTTTAATAAGATGATTGGCTGGGAGTTCTTCCAGCATGTGCGGCGAAGGCCGTCTCACTGGCTGACAGCTATTTTCTTGCAGTCTACTGAAGAGAGCGTTTATCTCTGCCATTGGTGAGTCTGTTTCCCTAACCACTTCTTTTGTAGAAAATTTGCTTTTTTCTCTCTAGTGGCTTTTAAAATCATCCTTGTTTTCTGTGGAATGTTTAGATCATGACATCTTTGTGTTTCTTTTACTTAGGATTTATTTGGCTTCCTGAATCAGACGTTTGCTACCTCCCATTAAATCCGGGGGCTTCCCTGCTTAGTCTCCTTGAGTGCTGCCCTGCTCCATCTTACACCATTTGCGTCTCCTCCCTGCGTGCCCACCACCTCTAGCCGTTCCTTTATGCCCCCTCCCACTTCCCCTTTTTTCTGAGACAGGCTTTGGTTATGCAGCTCAGGCTGGCCTTGAACTCATTTTGTAGCCAAGCTGGCCTTGAACTCAAAGCGATTTTCCTCCCTCAGCCTCCCAGGTGCTGGGGTTACAGACGTGTGCCACCATACCTAGCGTCTCTTTTTACTTTATTTTTGCCTCCACTTTTTCCTATCTCTCTGCATTCCAGGCAATTTCTTTGCATGTGTATTCCAATTTGCTAATTCCTTGTATTGCAGTGTGTGTAATGTAACTCTGTATTTAACTGTGTAATGTTTCAGTCGGCCTGTTTAATTTCTAGTTATAAATATTACATGTCTGATGTGTGTGATACTTCAAAAGATCTGCCTCTCAGTTTTGATAGTGTACTGCTCAAGTACACTTACAATTCTGCAGATTTCATAAGCTTATTAAACATAGCTTTTTAATATTCTATGCCTGTTAATTCCTGGCTTGTTGTGTTTTTGCCTAGGCCACTTGGTGGTTCAGACTGGCCTAGAACTCACGACGTGTGCCTGGCTTGCCTGAGCTCCAGGTGATCTTCTGTCTCAGCTCCCAGAGTGCTGCATTTACGGGTGTGTGCTGCTGTCCCCGGCCATAATTCTCTCTGCAGTCTTCGCAGCCAGGTTCTTCAGTTTGTTCTTCCTGTCAACTCTCACTTGCTGTGGGGTGACTTCTTTCTATCCTGACACTCAGTGTACACATGTCACTGGAACTTCCTATATCGAATGGTTTTGTGGCTGAGATTACATGCCTTTCTTCTAGAAGGATCTAGGCTTGCTTTTAGTAAATCTTTATGTATTTATTAATTTTTTTTTGGCAGAACTGGGGATTGAACTCAGGCCCTTGTGCTTGCCAGGCAATGCTTATTCTACTGAGCCATCTCCCCGGCCCCTAGGCTTGCTTTTGACAGTGGCTTGCTTTCAACTAGACTTTTGGTTGAAGTTTTTTGAGTCATACAGACAGTATGAATTCCATCCTCACATGTGAATAAAAGCAGGTCAGTGACTAGGAATTCTCAGGAAAAACTTTTTTCTCTTCTCCACCAGGAGTGAGGACTGAGGCAGCTCCAGCCCCCTGCAGAGCAGAGCCATTCCTCACCCACCCACTGATCCACTGGTCGCATCAGCTCTCTGGCGTTCGCTCTCTGCCTCTGCCAGCGTGTTTCCCACCTCCCTCTGCCTGGGGTCCCCGAAACCCAGCCCCAGTTAGTGGTGTCAGCAGGCATGGCCTCAGCTTCTCACTCTGTGGGATCTGGCTTGTTTGCTGCTTTTCTCTTTTTTTACTTCTATTTTAGCAGGGCTTTTAGACTGTTTTGTTCCTTGCAAGTACTCTGTACTGGGCAAGGTTTTCTGTACATCTGTGATGTAGGGAGCACAGACACTCTTATGATTTTCTATAAAAATAGTTTTAAAAATAAAATGTAAACATAGGGTTTAAAAAAATATCATCCTGTTTCCCAGTCACTACATTAATGACATTAGCTGGAAGACCCTCTCTCTAAAAAGTTATGGGTCACAATACTTACTTGAAAAAAACCCAACCTCCCCTGGCTTCTGGTTCTGGGAGTTTGATGGGTATGGTGCTCCAAAGGCAGTGAATGGTGAGTGGTGTGAGTGAATTTATTTATTTGTTTATTTATTTTTGTAGTTTAGGGAAGGGTTCACAGGGTATTCAGGGTCTCACTACTAGATCAGACTAGTAGTGATTCTCCTATTTACAGCTTCCCAAGTGCTGGGATTACAGGCGCGTGTCACCACGCCCAGGCTCAATCGCTATCTCAGTGCACTGTCTCAGTGTGCCCCAGGGGCAGGGCTGGCATGGCAGGCCTAGGGATCGAACCCCAGGCCCCTGCATCTGCCTGCTTGTGCTTTAAGCTGCTGAGCTATTTGGCCTGTCCTTTGTATGAGTGCATTTAATGGCTGACTGAGTTACTCTTCTCTTGTTGGTGGGACAAATACCTGACACTCAAAATTAGGGAAGGAAAGGTTTATTTAGGTCACACCTACTGGAGGTTTCAGTCCCTACTCAGCTGGCTCTAAGGTAGGGTGGCACAGGGCAGAAAGCAACCTTTCATGGCAGCGGCAAAGAGCAGAGAGCAAAGGGAATGGCAGCAGCTCAGGCAGCTAGCTGGCCTCTCTCCCCTCCTTACACTGTAATGCAAATGACCTGCCCCAGGTTGGGTGTAGCATCCACACCCAAAATAATCAATCACAAACTCCAGAAGCCGTCCCATGACTGCATGAGGCTTTAGGGGCACAACTAGACATAAACCATAAAGATGGCTGAGTAGAGAACCCCTTGGGGTGAAGGTCTCCATGCTGACAATGCTACTATGAATGGTTGAAATAAATTTAGATTAGTTTGAATTTGGTGATGCTTCTAGCATTAAGTGTACACCAAATAGTTATTCTTTGGTTATTTGTTTTGACACACAGGGTCTTGCTATGTAGGTGCAGCTGGTCTTAAACTCACTATGTAGCCCAGGCTGGTCTTGAACTCGTGGCGATGTGCTTGCCTCAGTCTTCTGAGTGCTAGGATTACAGGTGTGCACTACTATGCCTAGCCAAGTAGTCATTCTGATATAGTAGAGAGTATATGAATTCTGAAGTTAGAGGCCTTAGTTTGAATCTTACCAAGAACTAGTGAGCATGCAAAACAAAAACATGTTTATCTTAAACATTTTGAAATGCAGAGTATTTTCCATATGTTAATTTTTCAATACCCAATGAAATGCCAGGGGTAGAGTAAACCTTCAGCCATTGTTCACTGCAAAGGCGAGCTATGGATTGTTATTCTGCCTGGTACATCCAGGCTTTTCTGAAGAAAGCTGCCTTACGGCAACAGGAAGGTTCTGTCATTATGCTCTGTGACAGTGAGTTGAGTTGTCAGCTTGGTTGGCTGGAGACCCACCTTGGGGAGTAGACCTCACATTGGGGAGTGTCTGCTGCGACAGGAGGCGTCCCCCTGAGGTCCCCACTGAGCCCCTGGCTCCTTTCTCTCTGGCCCTGGTCCCTTCTGCTGCCCGCTGCCATGAGGCGAGCAACTGCTGTCAGCCAAGCCCTCTGCCACGATGGTTCTGCATGAGCGCTGACTGGGGACCGTGGTCTGAGCCGTCTCTGCTGGGAGCTGTGGGCTTCACGTACTGACAACATCAACGGGAAGGCCAACCAGCATGCTTCACCACTCCTGTCCTTGGTATGGTTAGTATCTTAAGTATCGTGGAATGTGATACAGTGGCAAAGTACTGATTAAAATGCTTCTCGCAACAGCACCACCTGGCAGTAGAGTACTTACCGCAATGGCCTGTGGGTTACTGGGGTAGGCATTCAGGAGCTCCTCAGGAGGGTTTAAAGGTTTAAGATAACGTGTAATGAAGACTGTTTTCCCACTTAGGTCAATTACTGTCGTAAAGCACTGCCGATTTGGGAACTTTAAGGCACACTCAGCTTGAAACTTCTCTGTAGCTTGAAGCAATTTTTCATCTTCCTGAGAATCAAACTTCAAAAAGAAACACTTCACAGAGTTTATATGATTACAGGAGACAAAGTAGAACATGTTCAGATTGCATGAGCTAGAGGCGTGGTTTGAGAAGTCTGATTAAGTGATTCTGTATAAAACCATCCTGACCTGGTGTCCCTGTAACTTTAATTAGTTATATTTATAATTTAAAAGTTAGACAGACTCATTAAACACAAAGTACATTCCACTTTAGGATAAAAAGAAAGCTGTGAACAGGCAAGCAGCCATCTGGAAACTATTTGGATTAATATAACAATCTGTAAAAATTAAGCTATGGCATAGTAATTCTGATGGATGAGCCCCAGCGACAGACTTTTATGTGACTGTATTTCTGTGTTGGCCTTACGGGGGAGGAGTGCTCAGAAACCAGCATCTCAGAGGTACGAGGTCTGCGTGACACATTCCTAGGGTGGAATTGTCCAGCCAGACCTAACAGTAGCTTTAGAAAGATGGCAAAGTATGAAACAGACTGAAGGAAGAGCACCCAGTTAGAGTCAACCATGTTCTTCTGCACTTATTCATCTACTTATTCATCAAATACAGTAAGTCTCTGACTGAGGAAAAGTTCTGTTCTGGAAGATGCATTCCCATGTCTGACAAAGCAAGTTCTACACAGTGTACCTGCGCAACTCTGCAACTTGAATGTTCGTAGGTCAGGGACTTCCTGTATTTGAGAAATGGCTGCAGAGACAAGAAAAGATTCCAGGCATGCCAAATACATTGAAACAATCTCCTCAGAAATAAAAAAAGGGACAGGACAGGAGGGGAGGGGAGGGGAAGATCCCTTCAAGGTATTTCTAGTCTAGAGGGGAACGCTGCTAGGCATTTGGGATCTTAGAGCACCTGACTGGCGATTCTACTGGCAAAAGCGCGGGTGCTCTGGGAACACCTACGAGCGGCGGCTGGAAGCAGAGTCCAGGAAGAATGGCGAAGCCCGCGAGCCGGCCCTGACCCGTGGCCCTCAAGGTGGAAGGCGCCAGCCCGTGCTGCTGTGTGGACCTGTGTGTTCGGTGGTGCATCCTACGCTGTGCCCGCGCATGCTGGGGCAGAGCCCGAGTGTGAGCCGGCCCTCGCCCCCTCGAGCCCGCGCCCCCGGCACCGGATCAATACTGATAGTCGCGGAAACTTGCTCAGGCCACCAGGTGGCTCTTTAAGGAGCGAGACAGGAACTCAAAGGCTAGAGAGCTGTGCAGGTGATTTAGGAAGCGCTGACAGAATCTGGACAGTTCATGATGTAGGTGGAACTGACAAGTTCACGGTTTCATTCAACACAAAACTTGGAAGATTCTTACTGGGCTCAATTGTTTGACCTCTAGGTTAATGTAAACATTTAAAGAAAATGGAAAGGGTCATCCTGCTTTCAAACAGCTGCACTGACAGCCCTGACCTACTGAAAGAATTTTCAGAGCTACACTCTGGTGAGCAGCTCAGAGGCTTCCTGGCTTTGGAAAGAGCGAGGGTCACTCCCAGGATGCAGGTGACACTCAGACTGATGACGTCTTAGATTCATGCCAGCTGAGACTCGTTCTCACAAACAAAGCAGGCCAAAGACATTCTTATTTTGGGGGGCTGCTGGGGTTTGAACCCTGGGCCTGGGGCACGCTGTGTGACCTCTGCCTCTGAACTGCACCCCGACCTGAAGTGGGACAGTCTTCGTGGAGCGCAGACCCCTCTAGTTCACTGCCGAGGTCACACGGACGCCCAGACCCCGCCCCCGCCCCGGGCCAGTGGGTAAGAGCGGCTACTCGCAATAAGCCTAGCAGGGCACTGCGGAGCCAAGCACGGGTACCTTCGTGAGCATGCCACTCAGCTATCACGGGCCAGGAAGGAAAGAAGAAGTGAAAGCCATGAGAGGAGGACTTTACCGATACAGAAAAAGCTGTTTAAAGCATTTTTGTTTTCAACCAAGACAATGTCAAGCAGATGTTCAAAGAAGTGCTCAGGAGTTGCCCAAGACGGGTGAAACTTTTTCATTAGTAAATAACCTTTTAAAAATCAGATGGAATGATTCTGCTTGGGATAGTGGTAGAGGGACAACTTGAATCTGCTAATCCTGAAAGTTTCTGTTAGTGAAAAAGCTCTAGACTGTGGTCCCAGTGGTGACAGTTGCGCTTAACTTCCAGCTTGACTTGGGAGCCGGCCGGGGGGTCAGTGAAGCACATCCGGGCACCGGGGCGTCGTGGAGGCCTCGCTGGCGTCTGCCCCTTTCTCGCTCCTGCTCCCTGCTCTGCCTCACAGCCCCCAGGACTGCGCAGCCCTGCTCCGTCACCCTTCTGCCGTCGTGTTCCTGCCGTGGGGCCAGCCAACCACACACGGCACCTCCCAGAACCACAGGCAAAAGCAAACCTTCCCTCCTCTAAGTTGTGTGTCAGGTTTGCATCTCAGCTACAGGAAGGAAGGCCGACTGATGCAGTAATTCAGGGCAAGAGCTTCCCTTTCTTGAAGAGTCTGCAGGTGAGTCTGCTGTGAGTTTCCAGCACATGGAAACAGCTCTAATATACTAGCCTTTATCACTAAAGCTGTGATTCTCAAAAAATTTAGAATATGTCCATTTTAATATTTTCAGAAGGAGAACTATATATTTTGGGTGTTGTCTGGAATATCAGTCAATATCCCGGGCTGGCCCCATGCTCCCATCAGTCCTCCTGCCTCAGTGGCTAGCCTATAATGAACAGGTTTTCCTAGCAAACTAACCAAAACCAACCCTCTCTAGAGGTCTTCGGGAAGTGCTTGCTGCGGCCACAGCGGGGCAGTGCTGTGCCGCCGCAGGCCGGCGCGCTGGTTCAGGGCTGTGGGAGGAGGGCGCTCCTCTGGGGGCTGCGCCCCGCCTGGGGGCTTCTCCAAAGGAGCCCTGGAGCAGGCACCGGCGTCCACCTTCTCACACACTGCTCTCCCGCGACTTGGGAGCTCGCCTCCTGATGGGGGACTGGCCATGCCTTTTCTCTTGTTTGGAATTCACGGAAATAGTGAACCATCCTTGGTCTGGGGCTGTGTTCTCTGTGAACATGCTTGCCGGCTTTTTCTTGGATTTACACTTGAAGACAGCACTCCAAATACTTAGTTCTCTTCCTGAAAACATTTGCATGCACATTCTAATGTTTTTTGTTTTGTTTTGAGAACCCTAGTGTTAGAGACAAACCCTAGTACATAAGAGTCATTTGAGCTATGCAGAGCGAACACAGCCCGTAATCCCTGCATTTGGGAGGCTGAGGCAGGAGTGCTGATGGGAGCTGGAGGCCAGCCTGGGATACAGTGCGGGCTTGTCTCGAAAAAGACAAAAAAAAAAAAAAAAAAAAAAAAAAAAAAAAAAAAAAAAAATTTGAATTTCATTATATTTATTTTTCCAATAACCTTTTATATCCTGCAAATACCTTCCAAATGGGATATGATAGTACTTTTTTTTTTTTTCTATGAACCAAATCGGAATGCTGTAAAAGAAATGGGAATGTGTTCCTTCTTTTTTTTTTTTTGGTCTCCATCTGAGTCTTGCTTACAAAGGAAAGCTCCAGAGGACAATGGGTGACGCTGCTATGTGGTGTGGCGGTTACCAGCTTACAGCCTTGTCATACTCACTGTGTGGACCTCCCACCTGCTTTCTAGGCTGTTGTAGCACCAGTCCCTTAAGCAATACCTGCCCTATACAGGATGTCAGTAATCCGTGTTGTGTGTCCTCAGTGTGGAGTCAGAAGCTTTAAGTCTCACCTCTGCCACATGCTGCCCGCGTGACACTTGGTCAGCTCTGTCTTACCTTCAACCACTGACCAAGACATCTGTGGTATTAAAGGAGAGGCCGTATCTCCCACACCTGACAGTGCCGAGGGGTGAGGACTCAAGCCATTTTGGCGGTGGCTGTCACTGCACTAATCTGCATCTCAGCAAGAGGTCCCCATCAATACTATTTTGCCAAATCCAAAAAAGGCAGCGTACATAAAAGCCGTACAAGTGCTGCACGTTCAGAAAGTTTATTTCCCAATATTTAAAGGTGGGGGCACAACTGCTACAAAGCGGAAGTTATGGAAGTCTTTCTAGCTATTTAAAGGCGTATTTATGTGCATATTGATTATCTAAGGAAATGAATAGTGGTAACCCATGAAGGTCACCTGGCCTTTTGATCCTGTGAATCGATTTATCACAAGGGCCCAGCCAGACATGTGAGGCCAGACATGGAAATCTACTTCAGTGTGCTTGCCAGTAAGTCTGAAAAGAGGAATCTGATTTTCTCATTTGTCATTTCTCATTTTCTTCACACTGAGTAAATTATTCTAAAAGCAGAACATGTTTATATTTGTCTCGCTTTGCCCAGAAGTTTAGGTTGCTAGCTGACCTAAGCACTGGCTCAGTGGCAGTACAAACCCACACCTGTGTCCCCTCACTAACACGCAGTCCAAACTGGAGGAATAAGAAATGGAAACTGGAGCAAGAGCCCCGCTGTGGAGTGCAGCGGTGACAGCTGCACCTTGCCAACCCATCCAGACTGCATATAAGCAAGTTACCTTCTCCCGAACGGGCTGTCCTGGCACCAGCTGCGGCTCGATGGTAATGAACAGCGTGAGATAGGAGCCTTCGCTTAAGCTTCGGACGGAATCAAGGCCTCGCTCAGCAGTCACGCTTCGCTCCTTACAGTAGCCCAGGAGAACTGGGGGAATGTCTATTTTAAATGTTCCATCAATCTGTGGAGAAGAGGTGACATAGTAAACATTCTGAAGATTTTCCAACACAGCTTCAAAAGCAAATGGCAACTTCTCCTTATATAGTGAATTAAATAGACAGTAGTGCAGCTGATGTTCAAAGCCCACCCGATCTCTCCAGCCTCATCTCCCAGGACCACAGCAGGAACGGGTCTGTCTTTTGTGATTTGTTTTATGTTCAGTTGTGGCTGTGCTGGCCGTGCAGGCCTCTCGGGTCCACCTCCTGGCCTAAGCCCCATGTGCCTCAGCTTCCTTGCTTATGTTATAAGGAGACAGGACTGTGGTGGTGAGCCAGTTAAGAGATGCAAAACACCAGTGGCTGCTGTGTGACGTGGGCTCTGTGAATGCTGGCTGGTGGCCACTCCTGTTCTGCGCCATCTTTTGCTTACAGAATTTCAATCAGTTTTTAAGGCTTGGGTCAAAGGCTTCGCCAATTTCCTATCTCCTACTCTCCATAGAGTTTGCTTCTTTCATTTGTTACGGTAGCCATTCGGCTCAGCTTCGTGGTTGTGTACCTGTTTGACATATTCTAGAGAACTGTTCTCTGCAAATACGTCTCCTTCTTCTGTATCACCTTTCTCTGACGCACAGCGGTGTTGTGAATGCCCAGTAGAAGCTCCCTGGATATGGGCTGGATGGCTGTCCAGTCACCGTGTAGAAGGAGCTCGCATAGAGCTCAAAAGGGCAGAGCATTTTTAGTCTTGTACAACCAAAACTCTTCAGGGTTGCAATTTTAAATGCACAGTTGTCCAGAGCATCTAATTTTTATTCCAGTGGATTGTCATCTAGGGACAAATTATGAAAGCCTACTTTTGTTTGTTTCCTCACATCAGTGGAATGCACCAAAACCTAACACAGTCAGGTGGTAGGGTACTCTAATGGTTGATGCACTGTGTAGATTTGAAAAGTGTAGGAGCTAAACTACATAACTCAGCAGTTCTGCATCCTGGGGTGTAGAGGACACGCCCTAGGGCAACTGTGTACACTCCAGGGTGTTGTAATGTTGGTTAATTGTGTCAACTTGAGTTTAGAAGTTTCACTAAGTAACTCAGAGGGGGACAGGGTCCTCACTTTGTAAATGTCCTGAGCCTGTGCAAGAGGAGGGAAAGGAGAGAGTGTTGAGTGCCGTGCCCCGAGAGGAGAGCGGCAACCTGCACACAGTGTGAGGTAGAAGGAGGTTAGCATCTCCATTGCTGCTTTAGCTGCTGTTGCGGTCTTCTGCCGCCTTGAACACGTGTCCTTCACCAGGCCACCCTGCTTTGCAGACAGCTGACTATGTGCTGAAACCTCCACAAATGAAACTAAATAAGCCTTTCCTTTCTTAACTTTGGACATCAGGTATTTTGTCTCAGCAATGAGAGAAAAGTAACTCAAACAGGTACAGAAGAGACAAGTTAAAAAAGTTACAGTTGAAATAACTGAGCACATTTATTCTGTAAAATAGGCAAGTAACACAGGGGGACATGCACTGCCTTCAGGTATCTGATATGTAGGGATCTGAGGCAGAGCTCTAGCCAGGTACGGTTGCTATTTGGGGGCAGGCTGCTCTTTGCACTCGAGGGGTGTCCTGTGCACTGCAGGACACCAGGCGCAAACCCCACAGGATGTATCAAGGATGTCTGCAGACATGGCCAGATGCTCCCCAGTGTACACTTAGAGCGGGGACGTGGGGATCAGATGAAACTCTTTAGAGGACAAATGTAGTGAAGCTGCTTTCCAGAGGAACACTAGAGCACATATACACACAGAGCTGAGTGCTGATTTCTCCTTTAACCGATCTTCACAGAAGCTGGTAACAGCTGAGTCCCACCTGTGCTGTGAGCCCTTGTGATTTGGGTGAGTTATGGAACCTTGCTATGCTCTGTCTCTTTATAAAATGGGGACAATAAAAACAGTCATGTTATGAGGCTTAACTGAGGTGACCCATGAGAGCCTCATATGAGTATGCAGTAAGTACCCAAAAGATTATTACTATGGCATCAGGATTCTCCTGGTTACACGTAGCTCCAGAAAACTGTAGCCGGCCCTGTGAACGGGAAAGGCAGGAAATTCACAGATTATAGCACCATCCAAGAAGAACCCATGACAGAGCCACTGGAAGGAGAAAGCCTGCTCACAGGTAGGAAGAACTTTGGGCGAGCCCTGGACATTGCCAAGGCAAGAAGTGGGCAATTCACTGTCCCAGAGGTCTGGGGTGAGTACTTCTGAGTCCCCTTCCAAATGGGACTTTCAGCAGTGCCAGCCATGTAGGCATCTGGTTTGTAAATGAAGTGCTCCTTACTTTTTTTTTTTTTTTTTTTCATTTAAAATCTATTCAAAGATGGAGATATATTTTCTTTTGGTGCATGTGACACCACTTTGTGCAGGAGGAATTGCAGTTCCCGATGATCCTTGAGGCTCCAGCCATCCCAAGCCTCCCAGACTGGACTTTTGCTCTTGGTTTTCCTGGAGACGCTGTGGTCCAGGGAGCCTCTCTCCCTACACTCATCACAGTGGCCAGAGTCTTCAGTGCCGTGGCTTTAGCACTGGGACACTGGGGAGAATCTTTGTTGGATTTTTTGTTTGTTTTTGCAGAACTGGGGATTGAACTCAGGCCCTTGCGCTTGCCAGGGAAGCGCTTATTCCACTGATCCATCTCCCCAGCCCGAGATTCAGAATCTCTAACTTTCCCAGATCAGAGTTACCGCCCTCCAAGAGCTGTCATCCTAAGGAGTCCCCTTCAGCAGAGTCGTTAATGCAGAAGGGATCTGCACACGGCACATAGGGTGCTAACAGTTTTCCATGTTTAAACAGTGCCCTGATGAAGTGTTAATGGAACACACCAGGTTCGCTGGGCCGTCAGCTGTCTTGATTATCCTGTTCCAGTTACATTCAGTCATCTATCCTGCGCTTCCACTGAAATCTTTAAAATATATTAGCCATTAACTCTAGTGCTTAAATCATTAATGTTTAATTAATGAGTCCCATGCATATCATGGGAGATCACAGTAATGACTGCTTTCTTTTTTGGGGGTTGGAACCAGGGATTGAACTCAGGCCCTTATGCTTGCCAGGCAAGCGATTATTCTACTGAGCTATCTCCCCAGCCCCATGACTGCTTTCATTCCAAGGGCTTTGTACCTATTTTCTCTTAGTTCACAGAGCTGTTCTCCATTCCCAAGGAGTACTGGCTTCAGACACTTACCCTCGCCTGGGAATATATGGTGCTAAATGGAATCTTCACACATCCTAACCAGTGTCTCTCAATCCGGGTGTGGATTCCACTCCCTCTTTCCCGATCGTCCTAAAGGAAATGTTTGCGGGTAAGAAAGCTTATTTGAGAACTCCAGACATACACTTAATTGATTTTGCAGCAAGAAAGCAGCAGAATTTTAGCTAAAAGCATGCAGACTTAGGTTAGACAGACCGAGCTGAATCCTGTTCAGACACTTACTAGCACTTTTCTCAGCAGTCAGCTGCAGCCCTAGCCTGTACTGCACTGCAGGGCTACTTTAGGATTAAATGGCAATGGGTAGGAAACATCCAGTACAGTTCCTGGAGCAGAGCAGGTGCTTCCCCATGCCACTTCCCCACGCATCCGTGTCAAGTGCCAAAGATTTAGGAGAAATATGCCTGAGTCCTCTACTGCTACTGAGGAGATGATGAGTACATCTTCCTTAGAGACATTCTTCTTAGAGAACTCACCTCCAAGATATCATGTAGCACCTCGTCAAAAACGTTAATGAACACCTCATCTTTCACCGACTGTAAGCTGGCGGTGCTGTAATCCCCATTAGGGGCCCTGAAAAATAACACAGGACCAGAGACCGCAAGAACAAGGAAAACAAATAGTGAGATGCAGATGTTAACATCTCAGCATCATCCAAGTAGAGGGGGAGGGGAGAGTGAAAGGCAGCAGCTCCTTCCTTCCTTCCTTCCTTCCTTCCTTCCTTCCTTCCTTCATTCCTTCCTTTTTCTTTTTTTGAGAGTCTCCCCATATAGTTCAGGCTGGCCCTGAGCTCACTATGTAGTCCAGCCTGGCCTCTCAAGCTCCCAGTGATCCTCCTGCCTCAGCCCCCTAAGTGCTGTAACTGCAGGTGTGTCCCATCGTGCCTAGCTGTTGAGGGCAGTGACGAGAAGGTTAGATAATGTCTGCACTCTAAAGGAGGCCTCCTGACTGCAGACTGATGTGCCGGCTGCTCTCTGGCTTCTTCCGGTGAGTCTTAGCATTTTTTTTTTTTTTTTT